CTTTTATTTGTTCACTTATGAAGTGGCTCATGGAGTAGCAGGGGACTTTGTTTTTCCATCTGTTACACGTTCCCATCAGAAGCAAAAACATTGTTTTGAAAGTAACATAGTAGTGGCTTATTATTTCTTAAAGTAAAGTAAAGTATAGTGTTTTCCCCTGAGCACAGCGTAGTCTGTAGTTCTGGCACATTAGCTGGCATAAACATTTTGATTAAAGCTTATGAATGTATTAATTACACCTGGGAAGTTTCCAAAGCTTATTCAAACTGCAAACTCTTCAAACTGCAGCCCCCAAACCTGACTTCTTTTTAGCAAATATAAAAATGGCTATCACAGAATTGCCTTTTCTTTCTCTACGATGTTTGTATAAAGACATGAGGTGGCAAGGGTGCAAATTTCTTTACCCATTAATTTCTGTAGGCACTTTCTCAGAAAGTCTTCCAGTGCCGGAAGGATTTTTTTACTTTCATGCTGTCAAACATCTGCTTGAAGTCTAAAGAACTTCAATTCTCTTTAAAGTTTTCTGTGATCTTCTAGGTCTGACAACATCTGCACATACTTAAGCATTTATCAGAATAACATCAGTGGGTATATGACCCCAAACAGGATGGCAACACTGGAACATAAACTGTCTGGCTGAGGCTCTATAAATAAACAGAGCTAGGAAAACCAGTAATAGTTCTAATGCACTCTCAGGAAATGTTAATAGAGTTGGTCCATATGATTTTCTTGCTCATATTCCCACGGTGGGTTGCTTATGGTGTAACAGAGGGCAGAATTTGGCCAACAAAGCCTATAAAGTTGTTTGGGTATCACGGGTTTTTTGTGAATAACACAAATTCTTACAACAACCTTCAGCTGGATTAGGTTGCGTGGTGCATTGACGATGAGATAGAAGCAAATGTAACAGAGGAGCTGAATTCTAAAATCACCGGGCATATGACCCCAAAAAGAAAGGCATATCTTATCTATCAAGCACCTGTGCCTCCGCCAAACAACCCAAGAAGTCTCACCTAAGCGGTGCTTTGCTCATGCATTCATGCACACAGGCATTCATTATGACTGACCTGCCCTAGGAAGGTCCATTAAGTGGAACTCATTTCAGGCACAGATGGTCCTGAATAGCTTAATGTCTGCCTGGTGGCCAGAATAAGTGAATTCTTGATGGCCTTAGGCTTCTGATCACATACATGCAGCCAAGGAGGAAATGAAAACATGTTTATCATTTTGATAAACCACCTCTCTCATTGCTGCAGGATGCTCCATGTAACTCAGCAGAGTCAAATACTATTAAATTGTCATCACTGTCAAAGGGAGGACGTATAAGTTTTGCTACCTGAGTCATAGTTAATGACTTCCACAATGTATAACACAAATCAGTACTGCTGTTTGCCTTTTTTATGTTTGTTTACTGATAGGTTCAGGCTTGGCTAGAATACAGAGACGAGTTATAATTTTGAAGTGCGAAATATGCTTTTATTATTACCTCTCTGCTAGAGATATAAAAAACAAAGATGATGAGAAGATGGCTTTTTGGCTTCTGCCAGGCATGCACTCAGACCCTATAGATGATTAGAGATTTTAAATCACAGACACCCACAGTAGGTTCTGCAATGTGTACACTCAAGGTGGCTTTATAATAGAAATAAAAATGAACCTGTTTCAGAAGTTTAGTGCCCTACAATTAGAATTAAAACATTTGCAGGAGTAACAAACAGTTGTCCCTGTTTTACAGTAAGAATGATGGATAATTTCTACAGTTTTGTATTTTAAGCCTATGCAGAACAAAGACCTCTGAACAGCTAAGAAGGAGCAGAGTCATAATGCCACATAGTTGCCATCTTCAACAGCCCAGAATCCTTCCCAGCAGCCAATTCTGTCCCTCTTGCTTTGGTAGGCAGCACATTTCCTTCATGCAAATTTCAGAGCATCCTGTGATCTGAGCGCTCAGAAAGGGTCAGCTGTTCTTACTATCAAGTCCTGCTAATGTTTGGTGTGAAGAGGATATAAGTTGTGTTGGGACATTTTCATTTACCTCCAAAGCTTCTTGAAGAAAGAGCAAAGCTATTCCTGATTTGCAAGTTCTTATTCAATTTCTAATTTTTTTCTGATTTTCTTGAGGCAGGAGGGAATGAAAAAACCATAAGCTATTTTTCTTGCCAGGTGGATAAAGCAGCCGCTTCAACAAATGTCAACAAAACATTCAGAAGACTTAAAGGATTTTAGGGCCCTTCCCTCTCCTTTTAAGATTGATGGCAAATCTCCTACTGACTCGAATTAGCTGGATGAGGCTGTTATTGTGGAAACAAAGCCGTGAGCTACCTTTTTCGATGAGTTTTTTTCCTAGTTGCTGCATCTATTTGTATTTGTCTGGGTACCTTTATCTATTCCGATTTTGTATATGGCTTTTAAAAAGTCTAACATGTATATGTGTGGTTGGTAAAACATATACCAGCAAAACACATTGCATGCAATGCTGGCCAGTAGTCATTCATAGGGTAAACATGCTTTAATGGAAAACTCTGACCCCACATAACAAATTTTCCAGGAAAACAAGCTGTGTAATGTGCAGAACTTTCTCTATGTGAGATGGATTTTTATCTTCTGTGTCAGCCCTGGGAAGGGTCTTTTTATTATTGTTGTTACTATTATTTGCATTATAGTTATTGCCCATGCAGATAAAAGTTCCAATTAATGTGCTTAACTGTCTAGTGTTAAGAAAATGGTTTTTTGTTGCTTTTGTAGTTTCATTATATTTTGCTACTCCTAAACAACTGTACACTTTGAGTTAAATTCTTTATTGCTGCAGCAACTTGAATTTCCATATAACAATTAAAGATGTTATAAAGCTCATCCACCACAACCCATTATTTTGAATAGATAACCAAATAAGCAAGAGTAGCTCATGTGGTTATTAGTACTCATACAGCAAATTAATAGAGAAAATTAAGCATTTAGCTTATTCACAGATATTTACCACACAGTCTGTGTGGTCTAAAATTAGAAATGTTTATTACTGCTTACATTATCTTTATAGCTGAGGTTGCAATCAATAAAATCACAAATCTTTCTTCTCTTGGGGCATGACCGTAAGATGAATTAAACCAATGAGAATCTTTTCAGTGCTTTCAATATCATTTGGTTGGGGGAAAAGGGAGTTTATCTGAAGAATTACTTCATAGAAAAACACAAGCTTTTGGGGCTGAGTTGATTGTCACAATTCCTCCTTCTCCTAAGAGACACTTAAAAGACTATTTATTAGTCAGATGATGGCTTTCTGAATTTTTGGGATCTCTCTTCTGTGGTACCTATTGGCTTTTAAAAAGCTTGTGTCAGCAGGCCAAATGCACCCAATAATTAATACATGAAGCAGCATTTCTCTCCAGATGAGTTAAATATTTCCTGCAGAGTTAGTCTTGTCTCATGCTTCCAAACTCATCAGTGCCTACCCCTATGACCACGCAACCAAAGCTTGCGTGCCCTAATGGACACTCACAGGCTTTCATCCACTGACCGCCCTGGAAGGTCAGTGGGTTGAAAATCTAACATTATCAAACATTTCCACACTTTGTGGAGTTCCTGTTCATTGGTAGTTGTTGTACCACTTAATACTGCGGGTACACCTTATGGCATACCACCGTACGACCTCAGCAACACATGGGCAAGGGAGATTTCTCCCTGCCCACCTACTCCAGTGCTTCGCTACAGAAATGTCACATCTGTAGAATCACCGGGTAACAGGACTTGCTCCTGAGCAGGGAGATGCCTCTGGACTTCCAGAGCTCTTCCTAAATCCCTTGTTCACAGACAGACATGAAGCAGCATCTCCACGCTGCTTATTCTCTTACCTGGCTGCATGGTTGCTGTAGTATTCAAAAGCTCTCAAAGTTGTTTCAAAAAGAGTGAAAGCCAAAGACAGGAATAAAGGCTTTTGTGGTATAGTAAAAGCAACATACAGTTAGCATTTCATAGTGGCATAAAGTGATAATGCTGTCTCTAGAAAACCTTCTTATGCATCCTGCTCTTTAGTAGGCTGCGCATGATGTTTTATACTAAGTTTAAACAAATCCTGCCAAATTTATGCTGCAATTTCCTGAAGTAGCCAAATATCTGTGGGGAACAGACTGGGACTATTAAATATGCGGTGATTACGAGCTAAATGCAGTCTGAACTGAGGAATCGACACATTACTTGGGCAATGCTTTAGCCCACGGTGGTGTCTCATCTCCTTGCGCTGCACTAAGGTGAATGGGGATAATACACCTGACACTTCATTTCTGTGCATAGTGTGTGCCACAAACACCAAACGTTCATAAACCCTAAGCCACTACTATCTGTCTAGAACTCCTTTGTGTTCTCCACCTAATCAAGCTATTGCAAATGTTCATAAAGAACAATTAGGGAGAGGAGCCTGGTGATCTTGGCACACCATGGGAATGTTTCCTGCCCTTAAAACTGCCAATTTAGTGAGTGGGGTAGCAAAAGGAAGTGCTGTTGGAGCATCCTGTAATTTTCAGAGGCTGATTGTCATTGAATCAAATATTTGGAGAAAAAGCTTGTTTGTAGATGGATTCCCTTAGCCCCTATCCTTGTACAAGAGAATATTTGAGGGAAGAGACCTCCAATATTACAAGACTACAATCAGCCAACGGTTGTTCCACATTTACTGTAGTGTGTTGCCTATATGTCTTCAGGCCCAGACCTTGACACAGTAATATTTAGGCCAAAAATTCTCCTGATGTGAGAAGCTTCTAGTATAAGACAAGCAAGCTATATCTACTGCAAAAGGACATTAATCTGCATTTCCTGTGAAAACTGAAGTGTAGCTACACCTGGCTTATTCAGAAGCACATGTAATGGGAGAAATAATGCAATCCCACCTGTATAGACACAGACAGGAGCACGCCTGGGTGCTTTGATTAGCCGCTGCTGCTTTTTCTAATCAGAATGTCAACGTTCTCTTTGTCTTTTTTTTTTTTTTATTTTTTCTTTTTCACCAGAAGGAGGAACGTGTGAAGTTATAGCAGCACACAGATGCTGTAATAAGAATCGAATTGAGGAAAGATCACAAACAGTAAAATGCTCCTGTCTACCTGGGAAAGTGGCTGGGACTACAAGAAACAGACCTTCCTGTGTTGATGGCAAGTAGCTCCTCCTATGTATATGTCTCTGTCTGTGTACCATCCAGTAAACAGCTTTAAGTCTATAGATTATGCATAGGAACTTTGTTGTGTTCTCTGTTCAACAAAACAGAAAAATCTGTAAGCATAAGCATACATGTACAACACCTTGACTGCTACTTTAGTGCATGGTTCTGTGCACATGGGTCACGTTAAGATTTACTCACAAAAATAAAGAGTATAGCATTCACCACAGGCACTTAGATTAAGTGTAATGGATTCTGTGGCAGGATCAAGCCCTTAATAAATAACTGGACAAAATTATCCCTCGTGTCACTTCACAGGGTACCCCCCCCCAAGTGCCATGTTAGTTTTGATTCATAAATATTTCAAAGGACGACAGCCATTCATTTTGATTTAATTAGCCATCTGAAAGGTCAGCGGCAAAAAAAGTTAAATAAATGAATCCTTTGGTCTTGTCCTGTAAAAAACATTACAGAAAGCTAGGGAAAAAAATATTTGTCTTTTCAAATCACTGGTGCTGTTTCTTCTCATGGGGATTTTTTGTACTGAAGGAAAAGCACCATGTTGTTTGTGTCTGGGTTTCATATCAGGTCTGGCTCCACAGGGTATATTCCTTTCTGGGGCTCCCTTGCCACCACTGCAAGGTGAAACCATGCGGCAATCGAGGAGAGAGCTGCCGCTTAGAAGTGCTTAACAAAATAGAAATCGCATAAGACAGGGCATAAGTGGTACTAATCCCATTAGTTACCCTTCTCAAACAAGGCGCTCTGTGTTGCAGAATGCCTCTGTGTAGCAGCTTTGTGAAGCAGAATATCTCATGAAAGTTCCCTGCTACTCTTTATGGTAAACCTCTGGTACCGTTGTTCATACCACCCCACAGCCCAAAAGTGTTTCAAAGAGCCAGGGGTCATTTTGGCTAGAGTTGAGCTGGGCACTGCTGGGGGGTCTCCTTGTCCTTCCCATGGCTGGATGTCCAGGTGGGGTGGCATACCTGCAGGTTTCGGAAGCACCCAACCTTTTCTCTTTGAGTCTGTTATTTGGCATTCAGCTTCCCCCCAGGTGAGTGAGAGGGCGGAGCTTGTACAAGCAAACATTGGGAAAAGTGGTTTCTTCTGGGTACCTTTCCTCAATCACATGCTGGAAACGGTCTAGCAAGGGAGCAGGGGCTGTTCCAGCTGCAGCCCAAAGTTAGACAGGAGCATTGGTGGGCATAGTGGGCTGTGTAGGCAAAGCTCTGAGGCTTTCACAGTCAGCACTAAAAAGATGAGAGATTGGGGATGCCTTGGAGGGATGAGAACCTCATGTTTTCTCAGTATTTGTGTTGTGTACATATCCAGTTTATATATTAGAGATAGAAAGAAAATGTTTTATCCTTTCAAAAACACTTTCAAATTTTTATATTATGAGGCTTGTTACACTGGTAATGTGATTCACCTTCTGAACTCATGACGCTACAAATGCGCCTGTGCATGGTTACACTTTAATTCACATTCTGTCATTCTGTTATTGCTTAATTGCCCTGATAAAAAAACAGCTTTTCTTTTTCTGTTAAGCACACTCATAAAACTGCAGGTGAAACCTACAGCTGGTCTTAACCAAAGATCAGCTGTACAAGCCTTGAAGAATTTCATGTTCTTCAGCAGGTCACGAAGAACAGAGGCACAAGAAAGAGCAGAGAGACACCATTAATTCAGATCTCATAATTCTGTTCAGAGAAGAGGACCTCAAAGACTGCTGTGTTAAGAAAAAAAGTTGGGTGCAGGTGTGGACTGGAGCCTAATTGCTCTGTCAGGATTATAATAAAAAGAAATGTTATTGTCTGGAATTTTGAAAGGAGTAAGGATAAAACAATGGCTAATATAGAAGTGCAAAGCTAGTCCCATTGAAGTCACTGGTAAGACTCACAGTGACTTCAAAGCCAGCAAGTGTGAACTACAAAGAAATATCTTCCCCTTTCAAGTTCAGTTGTTGTCGTCAGCCCATAGCCTCTTTTGTAGAGGGCTGGTGAATGGTTCAAAAGCCCAATATGCTGCTCGCAATAATTAACAGAAGGGGCATTTTCTTTGGTCTTTGTTTTATCCCAGACTTTGTGACTTTTGACATACTGACCTGATTTAAGTCAAAACTTTGACCTATTTAGTGGTTCTGTTCTTGCTAAGGCAAACTCCCAAAACTTCCTATGGGAGTGCCATGGACATCAGTACTTTAACTCACACAAAGTTTTGGGATTTGCTGTTTCATTTGTACACGAGGACATTTCAAAAGGTCATCTGCAACTTTTTACCTTTTTTACCTTCTTTACCTTCCATATTGAAAGGATTAAAACCATTTAATATCACACTGGTATTTATGCTGTATACGATTTCAAGCCATAATCTGTCACTAAGAAAGCTTGCTTGGAAACATTAATTAAAAATCCATGAATGTTCAGGTACAGCAGCATGTTCACAGAGACTGATCACCTGTGAGAGGTGACAAGGACTGGGAAATCCCATGTTAGCAGTTTGATTCCTACCTATGGTTGATAATTGTCTTGAGCTATCTCCACCTGATGGCTGTTTAGTAGTGTGTGTGAAACAAGCTGAACCTCAGTTTTGCCCCGTTTATAACATTGGCCAAACTGTACTTAATGGGACCAGAATCAAGGTTTTGGTGTTTCTCAGTCCAGTTTTATCAGAAAACACCTCATCAAGGCTGCTGTTTTGAGGGTTTGAGCTAATGTTACAGAGGAGAGATTGCATTGCCTTCCACTCCTACCAGCCATTGTTCCAGGACACAACTGGACTGCGTGGGTGGGACTGTGTTGAGACCTAGCTTTGTCTTCTGTTTAAGAGAGAATGCTGTTGTATGTAGGAGTCAGCTTAATCTTTTTAATAAGTACCAGGGGTGATAAATGGTCCTTTTGTCCTCCTCTTGTGGGATCTCATCATGGGTAGTACACCATCATAGTACATAGGATTCACGTATGTGTTCCTCCTCCTGAATGAGCTGAAATTCAAGCTGAGTATGTATTATTTGTACTATGAAGGGGAGGAAGTTGCCATGTCTTCTCAAGCATCACTTCCTGCCAGTCCAGCAAATGTTTTCTTCAAGGCCTCATCTTAAAAAAGTGTAGTGAGGCCAGGCTGTGGCAGCCTCAAAAGTTATAAATTATTTCTTGCCACTCATTCAGTAGACACTGTCCTAAAACCTGCCTCAATCACCAATGAATTATGTGATAGCAACAGTGAGAGCAAAATAAAAGCCAAATCTTGTCATGAAACAGAGGTGCCAGTTTCTGTTTCTTTGCCTTTCCTGTTGCACATTTACTTTCATGATTCCCTTCACTACTTCAAGGTCTTTTTTTTTTTTTTTGAAGGATGGTTTTGAATGCTCCTTTCCCTCCCTGCAGTTCATCTTGCATGGCGCTTGGCAGTAGCCCATACTATGGGCATCAGTCTCTTCAGCTCTCTGTCATGGCTGTTATTATTTTCTCCTTTTGCCCGAATACCTCTCCAGAGCAAGTCTCAAATGGATTTACTTCATTTGTGTTACATCACCTTGAGAAGGTCCCTTTTTCTGTGGAAAGCAGTGCTGAGCATGTCCAGGGAGACCCCAGCCCTCTGCCTCCAGAGCAAAGGGGACCTTGTTTCAGAAGCCCATGAGTAAAGTTATCTGTGTGAGCTAGAGAGCAACAATGAGGAAGTGGGAGCAGTGAATTGATCAATACACTTATGTCTTTTATTTTTTTCTGTTCTTTATGGCTCGTCTACAAATGACTTGCAGTTTTCTTCGGTTGTTTCCATTAACAAAACAGTCTTATGGCAACTTTTTAATTTGTTTTTTGTTTCAGTTGAGGTTTTTTTGAAGCAGTTTGTTTTAGTATTCAGTATACACAACATGAATGTTTGATTGGGCATGGGAGTCACCATCTTTTTCTACACTCTAGTTGAAGGCACTGGAAAGTTCTCTTATTTGGAAGTTTCCCCTTCCCTGTAAGGACACCCACTTTTGCTTTCCACTGCACTCTGCAGTGGCTGCTCACGTTCCTCCCAGGATGTCAGTAGGCAGGACTGGTCACAAACAGCCAGTGTGAAGGAGGTGGGAACAGAGGCCAAGTGAACCCGTGGGGTCACTGAGTAAATATTAACAGAAATGTTCTGATAATATAATCTCAGTCGTACTGTGCTTCATACAATCACTATAATACGAATACAATATATTTACTATTTTAATACTGTCACGTTTATGCTGTGAATAATGTGCTTTGTACCATGTCATTTATGGTTGTATTGAACCATTCTGTACAGTCAGGAGGTGGTTATGTCTGTGTGTTCTTTGAGGCCTTTGAATAATACGTAATTTGTTCATCTATACTGAAGTTTACTGTGTTACGGTTAATGATGCTCTCAGACACACGTTTTTTTAATGCTTGAATTTTTTATTCCCTTCCCTTCAGTCTTCTCACAGTCTTTTTTAAATTCCTTCATAGACAACCTCAATATTTCTTACACAATTATCTGTGAAATTTGTTGGACCACAGAGTAGGGAATAACAGAAAAAAAACACAGGCACTAGCTTTTGAAATCCATCACAAAGGGACTTTCATGCAGGTTGTGCATGTTGACAGTGCTTTTAGGAAATGAGGTGGTTTTAACACTGGTCAAAACCAATGAGGAAGAAGGAAGGTGCTACTAAAATGCTGTGCAGCATCTCTCCCTCTAAATTATTCCTGTAAGAAAGGTCTCTGCAGAGACCTTAGTTGATCCAATTCCACGTTGTCTGCAACACAGGATTTGGAGCATTAGCTCTCAGGCAGCAGAAGGAGTGTTTTAACTCTCTGTGGCTGGCTGTTGTCCTGTTTGATACCAGTCATGCATCCGGGAAAGAGAAATCACTCACCGATACAGAACAATAAAATGAAAGTAATCCAGTATTTCCCTTTCTCCCAGACTGGCTTTGGATCATATCAAGTTTCAAATCATTCCATAATGTATGAAATATTCACGTGCGTGTAC